ATAGATGGGAACTAGACTTACTGTGGTGATCATTTCGCAGCGTACACAAAATCAACCCAAGAGGCTGTACACCCAAAACTAATATAATGTTATAGGCTGATTATCTCTCTCTTTTTTAAAAAATAAAGAACACACGCATGCAAAACAAAGTTCTCTCTCAAGTGCCAAACATTTCTCAGGAAAATGCTCCTGTTAGCTTTCTGATTCTAAGACTCCAGGATTGCCTAGGAGTTTGAAGAAGCCCCGGTCCTGCAGTGTTTCCTGAAGAACCTTGGCGGCGAGGCAGGTTTGTTAGTGGGCCCACAGCTGGAGCGCCGGGCCCACCCCCCATCTTCACAGGGCGACCTTGAGGGCCTCTCTGCAGCCTCTTGCCCAGGACCCGGGTCTTCTTGAAATTTCTGCAACAAGCCATTGGAGAGCTCCCCCTGCTCTCTGGAAACTTCACTGACACATCTTGACAGCCACATAAAATTACATTTTGGAGCATTTAGTGCACAATATAGCAGCTTGTGTTAAAGTGCTTTTAAGACATTTTTTTACTGATCTGAAAAGTATGCCCATCGTTTTGGTTAAAAGGCCTCAAGGGCCGTCAGAGATGGATGGTGTCCATCATTCTGTTATTATCCAAGATGATAAAATGTCTAGGTTTTCCCAAAATAGTTACAGAATAAATGATACGATGTGTGGGATTTGAGGGGAAAGGGAAGACCAGTAAATGGGCGCGTCCATGAAACACAACTTCCCGTGGGCGACTGCTAAGCTGGGTGGGAGGTTCATGGGAACCCACCATTCATTTAATCTCTGTTTTGATATATGTTTGAAATTGTCTGTAATTTTTAAAAATTTCTTATGAGATAAAATATGAGAAGTGATGTTTTGGGCACAAAGACAAAGATCGAGTATTATATCTGGGATGATACTACACTGTTAATTCCCAATTGCGCACAATAATGGATATTTATGTCTTTAAATAGATACTGTGGTGTCTTGTCCGTGTGAAGTTAGGAATTGGGTCTTGGGGAGAGGCTCTGCTCTGCTCTGCTCTGCTCTGCAGAGGAATCTTAGAAATAATACAAGAGACCCAAGACCTACCTATGGCCTTGTGTATAAAAGTGGCCTTGGAGCAAATCATTTCTCACTGAATCTGTTTCCCTATCTACAAAATGGGGACATCAGGCCGATGACCTCGGAGCCTTCCTCCTTCCCTAATGATGTGAAATCCCCCCGGGACGTGAGCTCCAGGCGCCTGGGGAGTCTGTCCTCCTCGAGGAGCGGAGCGACTCATCTCCAGGGCCTGGGGCAGACCTGGCACATGGCAGGGCTGTGACATTTGTTCATTGGAAGAATGGGTGAAGTTTCTTTTCTAAATATGCAAACTGCTTTTCTCATAAGGACTCACATCTTCCCCTACAATGAAAGCAGATTCCATTCAGAAACCACACAGAGTCTTTATATCTTTTGTAACTCACCTTGAAAAGCCAGGAAAGTGGAAACAGGCATCACCTCTACTTATATCTTCATTATTGTAACTGAACTAGGGTTAAGGGGGAGTTGATAGCATGACCCGTAAAACTTCACTTACAGCTTTTCAGGGGCTCCTTCTGTGATCAGAGAATTGCAGGGGTGGGATTTATCTGTTGCTAATGGGAGTGGGGTTCATACAATATCTTGAGAAAAAGAATTTTTTAAGACTCGCACTGGAGAATGGGTGATTTTTATTTGTGTAGGGTTATATCCCTCAGTTTCCAAAGTCCCATTTCCCTTAAACCAGTTCTGGAAAAGGTGCAGCTGGGGATCCAGCAGAGCTAAAAGCAAAGCCCGTGTCCAGTTCCCCTGCCATGGTGAAGCTGAGTCTGGCAGAGCTTCAGGCTAGTTGTAATCCATTAGTCCCTTGTACAGGGGTCCACATGGCTGTGGGCATGTGGGCAGGTGCCGAGTGTGAGAGCCACCCCCTGCGACAAGAGACCCAAGGGAGCAAGAGGGTCTAGAGAGGAAATTCCTTTGGTTTAGGAGCTTATGTATCTCAGATTTTGCACCTTTGCAGTGGCGACATCTGTTCTAGCCAATGACCCATTCCCAGGTGGGACTGACTGACAGACAAGCACCTTCTTTGGGTCCTTTAAACTTCATTACCGGGCATGTGTCTATTATTCCTTCGTCCAGGCCCTTCCCCCAGATCTGCAGGGAACAGACCTGGGAGTGTTAAACTGCAGCTTTCTGGCACAAATGGTATGCCTCTATTTGCTCCTTTCTTCTTAATTAATTAATAAGTTGGTTAATTACAGTGGTATCACTACTACCCCCAGGATCAAAACCAGAACCTCCCATGGCGAGCAGAGCCTTGCCTGGTCCAGGCACATGTTCTCTTTTGTTCCTTTCAATGAATGGCCTTCTTTCAAAACCATTCTACCTCAGGGCCTTTGCGTGTGGCATTTCCGCAGCCTGGAGGGGTTTCCCACCCCTCTTCCTGGCTAACGCCTGCTCCGCTTTCTTGTTTCAGGTCCGATGTCCTTTCTTTAGGCAAGCTGGACCCATAGTCTCAACTAAGTCTTCCTGCTAAACGCTCCCATAACACCCTTTGCTTTTCCTTAGTACACTCTCCAGAGTTTACTGAATTTATCAGATGGTCTCATAGGATGTAAGTAAGAAACAACTTCATTTTTCTCCTATCAATCTTCTGGTCAAATTCGGTTGGATCTTTCTTTCCTGCCTTCTCATGAGATCTTGGGCAAATTCCTTACTATCTGGTCGCTTTCAGGCACATGAACAATCGTATTAGTCAACTGTGACTTATTTTCAGATATTTAAAAACGATAAATCTAAGCTGAGACTTCAGTTACACATCCAGTGCAAAGCCTGTTGTTGTTTTTGTTTTTTCATGTCTTCAGCTCAGGCTGTGCTGTGCTTTTCATGCTCACCTTCTCCCACCCTCCTTCCACTTGGTGCATGTGTAGAGTCAGATGGGGGTAGGAGAATTAGGAACACATGACCAAAGTACTTTTCCTGAATAGCTGCTCTTTGCACGGCTCTCCCCTGGCTGCCGATGCCTGCTGTGTGCCCCAGATCTTTAAATGCTGCCTCTCTCTGGTCGAACACATTCCCAGGGTCATGAGGGGCTTTCTGGGGGACCTCCGCCCTGCACAGTTTCCTGACATGGGTGAGTCACTCCTTGACACCTTGCATTGTCCCCACACCAGCTTCAGCTTCCGTACTCAGGGATGTACTCAGTGGCTTCTTACTGGCTTTCTTACCCTGGAAAGACTCCCTCTTGGCTCAACAGGTTCCCATAAATGGCCCAACCCCAGCTGCCAGCCTCGGTGCCACCTGCCTCTTGGGGAAACTTACGCATCCGCGTCTCCCCACCAGCTGCCACTATGCCGCTCCCCTTCTCCAGGCAGCCCCCTGCTTCAGACTTCTCCAGTTTCTGTGATCACAAAAGACATCAAACTCCAGGGGTGGGCTTTTCACGAGAACTCATTGGAGGGATTTCTCTCAATAACAACAAAAATCTCCTTCCAGGAGACCGGTGCCTCCGTTTCCTAAATCCCACCGCATCAGGCACAAGCACTCTGTTGGAGAATATTCAGAGCTGTGAGGGAAGCTAGACATAATCAAGGACAGCCATTGTATTTTGACAGTGAGGAAACACACCAAGGGCTCTTTCGGATTAGGGTCCTACTCTGTAAAATGGTGGTTACCAGGGGGTGAGGGGCGAAGATGAGTGGATGGGGTTGAAGGGCACAAACTTGTAATGAGTAGTAAGTAAGCTGTAGGGATCTGATGCACAGCATGAGGAATGTCGACAATAATGATGTCCTGTAATTGCGTAACGTGATAAACAGCCTACAATGGCAACCGTGTGACAATATATAAATTTTTCTCAAGGTGACACTCTGCACAACTTAAACATATATAAGGCTACATGTCAAATATATTTAATTAAGAAATAAAAAAGACCTTACTCTAAGTTGGCAGAAACCTGTGCCTCACTTCTGTGTTTAAGGGGTTGTTTTTGCCACCCTGTGATGGCCTTCAGATTGCGGTCGGCCCACAAATTCACGAGGCCGTTTCCTCCGGGGGGAGGGTGGACAGCAAAGGAAATGAAGCTCGTGGGAACGGGGAGCCCACCGAGCTTCGGGATCAAATTTGCGGCCCGTGTCCACTTCCCCAACTTTGGGAATATTTCTCCCAATTAGCATTCTCAATTGCTTGAGAAAAAGTGGTGGGAAAAGCAAGATAAAAACAAGATTTTTCAGTCACTTCACTTCCATAAATGACATCATGGATTACGCAGCGCTGCGGCTAAGGAGCTCTCAGTACCGATCAGAAGGAAACGAAGAAATCGAGGGCATCAGGGACAAGTCGGCAAAGGATCTGAGGCACCAGCCTGCCTGGGAGTTGTACCGATCAGCTCTCTAGGGGAACAAAGACGTGTTAGTCTGCTAAGAGCACCCGATTATTTCTCCATTCAGCAGAGAACAAAGAAAACATCCGCACCGTGCTCATAACTTTGCTTCACTTTGCAGCATGTAGAGCGAGGGCCATGTTCCTGCCACGTTTACCAGAATAGGGACACCTCTCCTTGTTACTGCCCGAGACACCGCCCCACATCCAGGGTCTGAAGGTCCTACCTTGAAAATTCTCAAATAGAAAATGACTTTTTTTCTAAGTTAATGACTAATTTCCAGTCAGTGAGTAATGTTTTTCCTGAAACATCCACTCCGTGGAAAACAAATGAAGAGCTGGGAAAATTAGGTAAACAAATCTGAACAGGGGGCCCCTGCACACAGCAATGAAGGCGCCTCTCAACTTGGTCAACAAAAGCAGGCACTCAAGATTTATGTCAAACAAAACCGTAGTTTTAACCAACCCTGGGCTGCACCTCCCTTGATGAATGACTTCCAGGGCCTCTGACTCTTTGGGACTAAAGGAGAACATTATTTTTAGCACAACTATTTGGAAACCTCTGAGAACTTGGATCTGTTTTTCTGTCTGGTACCAGAGCAAGTTTCTCGCTGAGCTCTCATGAAAAGATCCTCGGTCTCCTGTGGATTTAGAATCTTGGAGCGACCCACCATCCCAGCGCAAGGTATGGTGCTTGTCCTTTCTTTGGGAATTTCTGCAAATGTAGGTACCATGCCCATGTCATATGGGAGCTTCTGAGTGTATTTAACAGACAGCTCTGTAAGAGGAAGCCATGAAACTGAAGACCTGAGTTCAAATCTATGGTCTGACATGGGCTTTGGGACCGTAAGGAAGTGACCTGACTTCCCTGGACATCAGCTCCCTGTCCAATCCACCACAAAAGGGTCTTTGGGAAGATGATATGGACTTAATGTTGCTCTGTTGACTACAATATGTTGGGCAGATGTCAATATTTATCACTGCCGTGTGTGTCATCATGGCTCTTTACATAAAGCAGCCAACGCTGTTGATAAAAATAAATGCTGATGAATATTTTTCTTCATTCAACCTTTGTGGGGCCTCTGCTCTAGGCCAGTCTTTGTCCTAGAGGTTGGTGATACAGAGTTGATATGTGGGTGGAGAAAAAGCAGGTAAAGAGCCACAACAGTGTGGTGAGTGGTCTTGCAGGAGGCGTGGTGACAGGGCAAGGGGAGGTGGTGCGTGGCCAACAGGGGGAGCAGCTCTGGAGAGGAAAGCGGGAGCCTCGCAATCGGCGATGAGGGACCACAAGGCAGAAGGGCACGAACACCTAAGGCCCCGACCCTGGCTCTCTCCCAGGGCCACTCCCCACGCAGCTAGAGAAGGAAAAGCCTGTTATTGTGAAGTCTCTCTCTCTGCAGGCCAAGGATACGTCTCATTTTGGCTGCCCCTGGTTACCTTTCCTCTTCCTAACAACTTCCAGACAAAACACATTTTCAACTTGAATTAATAATCAAGTCCAGCCCGTTGTCGTGAAGCAATGCTACAGTTTCCCTCACGTGATATAGGCCAGAACTCAAGTGCTAGGAAACAGAAAGAGCTCAGTTTGGGATCCTGCCTGGGCCGCGTCTATGGCCGTGTGGACTTGAGCTCTTAGTCTCCACTTTCTTATTTGTAAAATGAAAGTGGTGCTGGGATTATGAATATGTTGTCTCTAAAACACCTAGCACAGTAAGAAGAAAAACAGTATGTTTTCTCCACCACCCCAATACTTCTTATTTAGTATCTTTAATTGTGGTAAAAGATGCAGAACAGAGCATTTGCCATGTAAGTGTTCAGTTCTGTGGCATTAAGGGCATTCACAGTGCTGTACAACCATCACAGCACCGTCCATCCCCAGAACCTGTTCTTCTTTCCCAACTAGAGCTCCATACTCTTTCAACACTGACCCCTCCCTCCCTCCTCCCTCCCCACCAGGCAATCATTACCCTGCTTCCGGTCTCTACAATTTTGACTGTTCAAGTTACATCATGTAGGTAGAAACATACAACATTTGTCTTAGCATAAAGTCTTCAAAATTCTTCCTCAGAGGAGAGACAGACTCATAGATAGAGAGCAGGCAGGGTGGAGGGAGGCTGAGGGGGCTGGAGGGATTGAGCAAAAAAATAAGAAAATAGAGAAAGAGCCCATGGACAAGGACCACAGTGTGGCAATTGCCAGGGGGAGTGGGGAGGGGAGGGGAGGAGGGGATGGGGGAGATAA